AAGTCAAAGTCATGGGACCAGTCCATGTAAAACGAGTCGTAGCTGATGTTTTTCTCCTTCTTTCGGCTGGTGGAAACACAAAAGATATCAAAAACGAATACACAATTTTGTATATGAAAATTTAATGCCTCAAAACGTAGCTAAAGGAAGTTTGCATTTTGTCTGCACGCGGCCGCAACCCTGCCAGGCAGCAACAAAGCGCCCAGGCTGTTGTTGGTGTTGCTTGTTTGTCAACTATGCTGCGACCTCTGCCAGTGACAGGGTCCAAGTCGAAAGCGGAGTTTGCCGCCCTGCTGTCGCTGGTGTTGATGATTTTGTTGATGTGCTCGTTGAGTTTGATGTGGCAGGCGCGCAAACCCCGAAGCCCGCACTTTGTTCAGCGCACCCTAAGCCCCCACCATAACAAAAAACCGGGCCCAATCCCAGGTCTGGGAAATTCGATGCGCATTCTATTCATTGGCGTGTCGGTCCTAGAAATATGATAATGTGCCAGCAGCGAGAGGAGCAGCAACCAAATATGCAACAGTCAGTTCGTAAATTTTCATTGTAAAATAAGAAGTGAGTGTGCGAGTGTCTCTCTGTGTGTGTGTGTGTGTACGCAATGTTAGGGGATGAAGATGTATTGCCTTTTGTGCAATTTGACGTAATGTTACATAAGCTCTCTGGCTAGTCGTATTCGGGTGGGGTGGGATGCTCATTATGAAAGGCGCAGGCAACATCGAATTTCTGTTTCAATTTTTATGATTGTGAACTTGGCCGGGTACGTAGTACTACGTACGGCAGCTGGTGCCCCTTTTGGGATTGGTTTTTATTATTTTTGGTCGGTCTCGAATTGGGATCGGAACTGGGTTCGGGGTGCGCAGATACGTAACAACAGATATGGGTAATTTTTGGCAGCCGTGCGAGCGCTTCTATTCAAAAGTTGTTTAATGCGTAAAATTTTAATTTTTTTATCGTCGTCTGCGTTGTTATTGTTGTTATGCCACGTTGGTGGCGGAAATCGTGTCAGCGTTTGACAAAAGAGTTAAAAAGTTGTGGGAAAGGCAGATGCTTGCATCAGAGAGATTGACTGATGCTGAGGTGTGAATGGATATTTGAGTTTGGGGAGTGACAAAGGGATTCCAGAACGCAGCCTGAAGGGAGATTATGAATATATCTAAAAGAGCATATTTAACTCTTGAGCAATTGATATGAAAAACAAAATATCTTGAGTTGCCTTGCCTTGCTGTCTTACGCTTATGTGCCTCCTCGCTAAAAGCTTCGAATAACTTCGAATGCCTAGTTAACTATCGAATCTTCCGCCAGTGCTAAATCACAGCACGAACCTTTAAATTACCAGATAGTTCCTTATAGAACCCCGTTCCCGAATATGTATGCCCTGCTGTCAAACCAAGCAAATGTAATTCTATTAAAAGCAAACCAGCGAAAATACAAGAAAAGATGCCTTCACGCTACAAAGCAAACTAAAACAGACATAGTAAAAGAGACAGAGAAAGAGAAAAACTCTCAGGCTCTTTGGCCATGTGAATGAGAAACTGTCGGCCAGGCAAATGAAAATTGTCTAATTGTGCGTGGTAAGATAACAAACAGCCAACGGCAAGAGGGCCAGAGCTTCCTGTTATTGTTATTGCTATTGTTCCTACTCAGCCCGATGTTGTTGTTGTCGTTGTTGTTGCAGTCGTAACACATTTCGTCAATGTAAATAAGCAAAAATTGGGCGACAGCAGCAACAAAGATAATCGCCTTAGTAGCAAAAGCAAAAGTGCACTCCAGGTCATGGATGTGAATGTAGCATTAAAGCCGCAATGACAACAACAAGCTGCCACACACATGCGCACACAAACACACATACGCACACACAGATACACGGGATATTCATCAGCTAGCCACCCCTCGTCCTAACTTTAAAACTGTAACAATTGGCGATTGTGTGGGTCTTGCGGCTTGACAAACGCTAAGCACGGAGCGCCGAGCGCTGAGCACGGAGCGGAAAGGATAACACGCACTTCTGAGGCTGCCCCACGCCATGAAAGTTAATTTACGTCACGCAGAATTTTCAATCAATGTCAGACGGGGGTTAGCTGCCACCGAAGGGTTGAGGTCTGAGTGCTGACTGCTGAGAGCTGAGGGTTGGACGCCCGCTGTTCTTGTTTATTTTCATTTTCGCAGCTAAGGCAATCAAATTGATCTCGTTTTGATTTGCATTTAAACGACACTTGACGATTGATATAGCCGACTTTTAAATGTAAATAAACACAAACGGACTTTAACATATTTTCATAGCTGACATTGCTGACATTTATCGCCTGGTTTGGCTCTTTAATTGCGCATTAACTGTTGAGCCAAAAATGGAAAATGAAAAGAAAAATACAGACGTTGAAACCCGTCATCATCGTCATCAGCATTTTGGGCAGGTCACAACCCAGAGCTATACAAATATTTTTTAATTGAATGCAACGCTGGTACGCGCGACGTTGATGAGGGTGCCCTATAATTATAGACCCAAAGACTAACTCTCCAAACTGAATCGAGACTGACACGAAACTGTCTGCAGGCCCGACTCGCCTCAACTCCACTCGACTCGCCGACTGACTTGTGGCTTTCCACCAACTAATTGCTGGGATTATTTATTTATGGAAATCTATCTAGGCAGAAGTCGCCGCGTTTACGCCCCTCACAATTTCGATTATGATGAGGCCAGTAATTAAGCCGAGCAAGATGGATCTAAGCAGGCCCAAGCCTTGGCAGCTAAACTATAAGCGTCAATTCAATACAGTCCAAAATATGTGAGCCTCGAGCAATAGAGTGACACTCTCAAAGCTCATCAAAAAGCGATTAAACGCAATACTTTGTCCATGAAAGCATTTAGTATAAAAGGTACATTCTTAAGGACAATTATTGTTCGCTCTTATTTTCCATAAATTTGATCTCTATTAGGGCCTACTTTATTTAGTTGATCTTTTCCTCTATTTTCTTTTCCTAGAGGGAATCATTTATGTCCTCAGTAAGAACTTGTCACAAATATTTATTTAATTGCACATATGTATTTGATCATTTAGTAAAATAATCTTTGTTCAATCTCATAGATTTAGCATTAAAAAAATGTATTTGCTTTAAGTCGGTACCGTCATATTCTCTCTCTCTCACTCTCCCTTTGGGCAATTGCCTGACCTAATAAATTGGTACGATTTAAACATTTCGAGTGCTGCTTACCATATACACACACACACAACACAAACTTGAGAGGCGAGGCAGTCAGAGGACACATCCTTGTGCCGCTTTTACTTGCGCTACGTTTTCTTTATGCTTTCTGCGAAAAATTCCTGTCAAAATTGATAAAAATCACATTTTCCATTTGAATAACGTTTTACGAATTCGTGCATAAAATTACGGCAACCCTCAGCGGCCGTTGCTACCCCAACCAGAGCTCTTGTCCGTGTCCCCGTCTGTGTCCATGTCCCCGCTTCTGCTCCTGCTTCTTGCTTTGTGTGTGCTCAATGGAATTTGTGCTGCAGCAGCAGTGAATTTCTTTGGTAACCACATTCCTGGACTTCTGCCTCCTCCTTGTCTGTCTGCATGTCTACTTAAAATGTAGAAAATATCTATTTGCTACGCCCGAAATACGCGCCGCAAATTTGCCCAGCTAAGGGAAATGATGTGAATTCACCGAGCGTCGCGAAATTTTCTTATCGCCATGGCGAAAATGAAACGAACATTAAAATTTGTTCGCTGCCCGCAAAAAGTTATTCAAGTGTAGATAATTTTCATTCGCTCAGATCCACGTACACACACACACACAAACACACTCACACAAACGGAAAGTGCAGCTTCAACTACTTCTACTGTGTTTAAAAATTAAATTTGTCTACAAAGTAACTCGACGTGTAGATAAATCAATCAAAATGGCGCGTCGTCCCAGCCAAAAAAAAACTACAACACTCGTAAAAAGCGCCACAAAAATCGACTAGAATATTTTTGTTGTGTTGCAAATAGTGTATTGCTGTTGTTGTCGGCTCACTTTAAAGTTTTTGGGTTGATTTTTGTTGTTTTCATTCAGTCAGTCAGTCCGTCGGTCTGTCCAGCGGATTGGCTTAGGCGTGTGTGTAAAGCAATACCTATAGCAGCAGCAACCCACCAACCCTACCAGCTGGCTGCCTCCTCCTTCCGGCAGTAAAAATCATGGCAAGGCTTGAGAGCGCGTCATTTGGTCTATGGCCGAAAAGTTGCGCCTTCTTCAAAAACTGAAACTGCATTATCACCATGGGCCACTCGAGGCTCCAAGCGGCGGACGACGAGTGGCCCGAGAGTGTCTCTTTCGAGTGGTGTTTGCGCCGAGCGCTTTTGTTTTCTTGCCGGCAACAGAAAAACACATAAAAATATTTTGCCTATCACCATAAATAATTCAACGTGGAGCCCAAGTGACGATGCCGAGCATCGAGCAGCGACCACTGCTCAGAGCATAAAAATCTTCAAAAAGAAGCGCCAAGTGCGAAGTTATTATTTTTGTTGTTGCTCTTCTTGTGGTTGTTGTTGCTGCTGCACGCACTCAAAATATTGAAAACTCTTTCGGCTGCCACAACTTTTAAAGTTGGCGTTGTGGAGTGAAGAGTGTGTGCAATCGCCAACTCTGCAACATGCAAAAGACAGGCAGTCTACGAGTCAAGGCTTAGGGTTGTCCCTAAGTATCTCTGAGTCGCACTTGCCCCATGTGTGTGCGAGTGTGTGTGTGCGTGTGTGTGCTTAAGCTCTGAGCCGTGTTACTGTTTGTTGAAGTAGTTGTCTGCTCATAACTTTGCCTAGCTACAAACTGCCGCAACAGCACTTCAAACTGAAGCAAACAACATAATCAAAGAGCTGTCAAATCACCAAAGGTGTAAAGAGCATACACTCCTCGGATAACGCTCAACAGAACCAAATAGTGAATTATTCATTTGGCTTTCTTTCTTCAGATTATAACAGTTTTTTTCATATAGATATATTATTGCATGTGGAACACTTACCAGGGTCTGATGTATCTAAGACAGGTGGCTGCTGTGATAATGGACCGGGTGTACTACCAGCGCCCGGCGAGCGCGCATCATCGTTCATTGCGCCCCCATAGGACAACGATGAGCTGGGCGGCCGCTGCAAAGACATAAAAAATAGATAGTTAACGCATTAATACTGTAACTTTACAGAGCGATATAGATGTGAGGGGCACGCACTAATAGATATATGAGTGAGTGCATACATATTTATATTTATACATATACCAAATTGACGAGCAAGCGTTGGGTGTTTGTTAGAATTAGTTACAAATTGCTTATAAATGTCGCTTTAAATTGACACGCCAACCATAAAATGAGCCACATAAAACTGGACATACAATCAATATAAACTCGGGGACGACCAAGACATCACCAAGTCTGTTGTTGTTGCTGTCGATGTCGATGTTGCTGTCCATGTCGATGACTCTGTCCGGGCTGTCTCAGTGTGCGCGTCTGAGTCTTAGTCTGCACGACTGTCAAGTTGTCAAAACTGCCATGGCCCGGCCATATTATGGCCAAACAAATGCTCGAACAACGATCGTGGCCTAGGCCTAGACAGCAACAATAGCAACAACATCGTGTGCAAATATATATATATAGCATATATATATATGTTATATATATAAGTTATCAAATTAATATGCAGCAGAGCCAGCTCTGCTTTGGCTTTGCCTGCGACTCCGGGTGTCTTCTAACTAGGAGCAGAACCACAACAGCCTCGTCATCTTTAGCGGTGCGACGTCGACGACGATGGCGGCATATTAAGCGCTTTGCTCGGCCTGCAGATACCAAAAATGTCAATGTCCAGGCTCGCTAGGGCATTCATAGCCATAGCCATATTTTTAGCCAGCCGTCCTCACATCCCCACTTCCTCCCCGCAACCTACGAACCCTGCTCGAAATCGATCGGTAACAGCAATTTAAATTCTGCTAATAACGACAAAATTTGTTGTCGCTCGCAGAAGCCAACAAAAATAATACGCCGCGGCATTAATTTCATGCACGAGGTATATACAAATATATGTACACGTATATAAATATATAATTTATTTGCCTTTGTTGTTTTTGCTGCTTCTGCTACCTTGCCTCCCTCCCTCCCGCGCAAAGGCGAATTGTTCACAATTTTTAACCATTAAATTATTATTTTCCCAAGCTCGTAAAAATTCTTGACTTTCGAATACAATAAATTTCGAGTGTGCGTACAACAATTTTTGATTCATTTGGCATGCAGAGCGCATCGCATGTGTTTTCGCTAAATATTTGTTAAATCGCATATTAATAGCGCCCCGCTATAGACAATCCAAATGACCAAGTGGGTGTATGTATGAGTGAGTGTGTGAATGGGTGTGTATTTCTATATTAAATTGACTACCTCAGCAAGTTGCCCAGCCAGCAGGCAATTGAGCAAAAGTTGTAATCATATTGCAGTTTTTATTATTGCTGGAAGAGAATAAGCAGTTGAAAATGATCGCGGAACTGGAAAAAGATCTCCTATTTTAGATGGATAAATAGATTACAGGTGGATACCAACAAAATGTTTACTAGGAAATTCTTTTTGACAACAATACCAAAGCACTTCGAAAATCTTAATTTTACATGAGAAAAACTTAAGAACTTAGAGTAAAAGTTTAAAAAAAACATCAAAAAAAAATGTTCATGTGTGAGAGAATAATTTTGGCTAGTTGCCAATGTTGCTGAGCCGTCTTTCAATTCGTTATTCGAAAATTGCTACTTTGGCAATCAAAGTATTAATAATTAGGTACGTTGTCTGCATTTTAAAGCTCCAATATGAACAAAGTCTTTCTCTCTCATTTGGCATACAATTAGTTTGTCTCTCCGTCCTTGTCCCGTGTCTGTATGAGCTACGAGGTGTCTCTTGATAGTCGCATAAACAATATCCAGCCTAAACGGACATGACTGGCGGCTCGATAAACTCGGAGCCTCTCGCCCAAAGCGGAATCGGAGAAATTGTAATTCTTACTTATTTTTATATGTGCGTCAGTTTCTTGGGCACTTTATGGGCTATAAAAAACGGGACAACCGCAGCCTAATTTGTGGCTCATTAAAGCGAGCAAAAAAAACTATTTAATAAGCTGCATTAAAAGCTGAAAACCAAAAAAAAAACAAAGGGTTGCATTTTCCCAACGAAAACGAAACGAAAGTTTCCTAATATGAGTGGCATGTTGGGTGAAATTCGATAGGCCTGTCGGCAGTGGACGTTTTCAGAGTTCGAGTCGGTCAGCTTTTCGAATCTTTCACACTTGCCGCACACTTTGACTTGAAGGTTCTGTGCGCTACGGGGCGGTCTCCAAGCTATTGAAATTGTATCGAGTTACCTGAACACGGCGAGTGTTGCAGATAGCCGGCGCAAGACGCTGCGGCATTCGGCATGCGGCATGCGTCGTGCTAAGTGCCAGTCGCGCTCCTTGAAAGGATGGCGCAGGACAGAAGTGGATGCGACACTGGATCAGGGCTTATCGATGCGTGCATTAATTACATTTTCAATTAGCAAGCGGCCAGGAAATTAAGCTATCGAATTGCCATTGGCACGACTCGTATCGCTTATTGTTGTTGTTGCTTTTGGTGCTGCTGTTGCTTATCACATTGCATGTCCTGCGACAATTATAATCAAATATTGGTTTTTATTTAAATGATGAGGGCCAAGCTGCCGCTTTCACTATTAATGAAATTGAACTAAGGCAATGGCTTGCCACACTTGCCTTCTGCCGGCTCATGCCGCTCGACAACATGCCATCACGTAATGTTGCCCCAAACTTTTTCACTTTGCGTCCCTTTGGGTGCATTAAAATGATCAAGAAACAATTTTCGTTTACCTTTTTGGCTCTGAGGGGTTTGGGGACTTTATTTTACCATCTACTTGGGGGCTTGGGGACCTGACAACCCCTTGCCGCCCGCTGCCCATCACCAGCCACCCGCCGCGCACTGCCTGCCAGCCAAATTATTTATTAATCAGCTAAACGCAGCGTCAATAAGCAAAATGGCGTTGCCAGCTCTTTAAATTTTTGATGATGCCAGAACTCGACTACATCGAGACATGACAATCGTGTTGTTTAAAAATTTAAACGTGCCGCACATTAAACAACCGCAAAATTGTGCTTCCAGGCGAGCCATAAAATGTAATCGCCCCGAAATGAACAACAAACAACTAAACAACAACAACAATAGCCACTTGGTCAATTGGTGTTGCCAAACTTTTGTTGTTTTGTTTGATTGCCCGGACACTTCATTATGTTGCGTATGGCCCTCTCTCTCTAGTCGCTGGTCTGACTCTGGTCAGCTTTCCAAGTGACTTGGCTAAGTCGGCTCAGCTGCCGCATAATTGCTCCTTGCCCGACCGAACGCCGCGTGCCGTTTCCACCCAGAAAAAAAATTAAAGGAACGAAAGGAAATGCAGGAGTCAAAACATGCAATTTTCACTAGAGATTCGGCTATATAATTTACTAGCTGGTAATCACAGCGCTGCCTCGTCGCCGTTAATCACTACAATCAACAGTTAGTAGAGCTGCCCAACCCTTCGCCCTCAGCCCGATCCAGCCCGGACGGCCCGGTCCAACCCACCACACTGCAAACAAAACAATCAAATTATGGCGAACGGGAGCAGGCGCTTGATTCTCTTAGCAAAACTTTTCCAGCGCGTGGGAAGTGTTTTTCACTCCGATTTCGAGCAGCATTTTTGCGGGGGCGTGACGATGGCGCGTGTGCCATCTCGAAAATTGTTGTTCCTGTTGCTGTTATTATGATTGTTACTCATTTGCTGGTGCGACACGAAGCCAGGAGCCAGGACTTGAGACTCTCTAATTGCCCTGCAGTATTTGCCTCGTGCATTTGACATTTTGGCAATGGGGATGGGTATGGGTATAGACATAGGAATAGGAAAAGTATTAGGATTGGGCTGGCATTTGCAATTGATGTATATGCTGCCGGAGGCCAACAAGGATAAGCCTGGGCTTGTTTTTACAATTAAAAACTGCAGCTTAGCATTTGGACCAGACCCAATAATTATTGTTGAGCTGCGCTCTTCAGTTGCCCCTTTGCCTCTGGGCTATGAAGTACTATTTGCTTAGCTCGAAAGTGGACGTGAAACATATTTTTCTGTTTGTGTACAAACACTCAGACTGGGACTGACTGAGAACCACAAGAAGGCAACACACAAACATATACATATACTCGCATCCATATCCTTAGAACAAATAATTAAATCCTTTTTACATGGCCGCACAGGCCGAAAGTTTTCGCTTGGTTTATGCTTCTGATGCGGTTCAGGGAGAGCACAGAACCCCAAATACCAATCCGTATAAACCCCGACGGCTGTTTGTTTTGATGGATTTGTTGTTTGGCATTGCCAGGGCACAAAAGCTTTTGTTTGTCTGTTTATGTCGTGTTGGTTGTTGTTCCTGCTGTGGCTTTAGCGGCCTGAAGCAGTGCTTAGTCAGACCCAGACCCAGACCTAGGCCGAACGCCAGCCCCTGCCCCAGTCGCATGCTCATTCCTTGCCGTCGCATCCCCATTGACAGGCAGCACAGCGTTGGCTGCGTTTCAGCTGCTTCTGCTTAATTAACGGTATATGCCCGGACCACCCCCACTCACTATACACCCACCGACTTGCCAGCCAGTGTGCCACTTCAGCAGCTCCTGCTGTTGTTGTTGCCACCTTCTGTGTATTTAATTGCGCGCATGGCATTTAATTGTTTTTCAAATTTGTTCAAGTTGTAAAATGTTCGCTGAATGAAATGAAATGCGTTCTCATGTGTATGTTGTTGTGTGTGTGTGGTGTGTGTGTCTTGTGTGTGTGCTTGCGAGTGTCTTCATGTGTGCGCTGTGCCATTTTGTTTAAGGGTTGAATTTTTAATTAAAGTGGCTGGCATCGTAGGAGCACTGCTCCTTGCAAGACCAATCAGACTGGTAGGGGGAGGTCTGCTGAAGCAATTCACAATATGGCTGCCTTTTGGGGTTGCCCTAGACGCTCACAGCCAGAACACGCAAATTGCTTGGCTCCAAGTAGATTTGCCATATAAACTACGTATAAATATATATACCCAAATACATATATATGCCAGCCAGTTCCAGTATGTGCAGG